TTGTTTCGTGTTATTGGCTTGTGTTTATATTAATATTGGCTTTGTTTTCTTAGTTATTGTAGTGCGGGCGTACTTGAGTTGTACCTGTGTACCTACAACATTCATAGAAAATGAAGGCTATCAAAGGGATATAGGCGTTGACACCGTATCTTTACTAGTTCTAGGTTCTTCTATTGTCATAGGTAGTACCTAAAAGACTGTCCTCAAACGTTACCAAATAAAGTACGTCATTAGTAGTTGGTGCTGCAGCGTTCAAGCGGCTGTTGGGTCTGCATTATAGAGTAAAAACATCGACTTTTCAAAGAGCGTAGTAGGAGGAAGGTTTAGACCATCCTTCAATTAGGAAGTGTGTTGGTAGTCGTAACGAGCTTTTAAAATGAAAAGAATTGCAGATTGGTCATACAAAAGTATTGGATACTTAAACGAACAATGGTTAGAAGACGTTTGGTTCTGGGTTTCTTAACCAGCCCTATCTACCAGTTGCGAACAGAGCAAAGAAAAAAAAAAAGGATGCGTTTTTCCTTTCTTCCAAAGCCGCGCAATTGGAAATCATGTGCGGATTTTCTCTGATGCCAGTTATGAGCTGCATCATTTTAAACTGTTATTTCCTGTGGAGTAGCAATTCTAGGAGTTACGTAACATGACAAGTAACTAATTTCTTTGGTTTGTCGTGAAAGATGCTTTGAAACTAACCAGATAAATGGGAAGTAATGGTGGTTACGCTGTTTTCTAAATAGAACCTTCAAAACCGGCAGTAAATGGCGAGGATTATATTTTTATAATATATTACTAAACGGATGGCTTAAATTAGCAATGGGACAACCCCAGTACTAAGGAGGTAAAAACCGGCTCTTCAACGAGACCAGGGCGAAGATGTCACAATAGTTTCGTTATATACTTGCTGGAGCGCTTACTACTTGAAGCCGTGCATTACAAAAGTGCCTTTGAAGAAAACGTGGATCTCTAACCCATACGGACCCCCACGCATCGCTGAGTAGCCTGAACAGATTCTATCCGGCACCACTCGGCGCGGACTGCAAACGTTCGGACATACACCACTTGTAATTCCGACTGGAGAATGAGGGAATCGAACCCCCGACTTCTCGCATGCAAAGCGAGCGCTCTACCCCTGAGCTAATTCCCCACGTCACGATCTTTATAAATCTGATTGGGAAAGCGATAATGTTGAAGTAGGAGGGAAGAATAAGCGGAAGTTGTATGTACTAACCAAATTTCACTAATTCGGCAACGATTGATTTTGCGTAAGTTGTGGTAGGTGTTTCAGTGCTGCATTATTTTATCTGAGAAATAGGTTGCAGTCAGTCATTAGTTTATTTCGTGCCATAGCTAATATCCATTTCTAAAGTTCCTAAACAGTTAAATGCTGCGGTCAAGTGACCTATCCTCAATCCAGAGCGGAATTGCTAACTTATATAAGCTACAGTTTAAAAATGACTATTTTCCTAATAGGTATCTGTTCTAGTTATTTGACATTATTAAAATCTGTCATTAACTGAAACGTGTTTTTGTCATAATAGTGCCATACTAGTTCAGTGGAGGAGACTGAACAAATTTCTGCACAGCAGTTAATTGTAAAGAGAAATTTCATTCTTGAACATGAACGTGGAAAAAACTGGTCTGTTAAGAACAAGACGAGGAAAATGAATTAATGTAGTCGATTAATTCGATTAAGTAAAGTATTAAACACAATATCAAAGACCAGCAAAATGAAAAAAGGGAAAAAACTGGCCAGTGGTTTGTTCACTAAAGCTGCTACTTTGTTGAAGATTTTATTACAGCAATGGTTTCCGCTTCTGAACATTATATTCAAGACGGCATTTACAACTATGCAAAATGAGCACTCTGGTGTTAATGGTTCATCTTCAAACACTGCATGCAATTATATGTCACTCGTGCACAAGCAGTAGCTGCTGGTTGCAACGGTCCCATTTACTTAACAAAGCCAGACTTTATGCTGTAATCGTCGTACGCTCGTTCTGTAACCCGTCTACGTCTCTTATTTTCCTTCCAGTTTAAAGTTTTAATCATGATTTCTGCAGACCCATAGAGTTAATCAGCCAAAGACAACTAATCAGTCGTTTTAAATGAACTCTCTGCTGTACATTAAAGAATGGAGAGATCGAAACTTTTGATGTTTCTAGGAATGAACCTACAAAGGGAGCGCAACGATAGGTAGAAGTTCGCAATAAAAAACTAGCGTTGCAAAAAGTCTTTGGTGAATGCTAAGAAGGATAAAACTCAAAGAAAATGAAGTAAATTTAATTCCCAAAACAAGTCCCTCAAAATTGACAAAGAGCTGTCCTCTGCAAAAGCAGATTACGGCGAGGAATGAAATTGATCTTAAGTTGCAGACTGTTCTGGGCAAAACGAAATACAGCTAATGGAACTATAATTCTTTGCATACATCCAAGCATTCGTTGCAAGAATCTAGACAGCAGAAATCAAGTAGTTGTGAAACGGAAGAATATCACGTTGGCATCCAACTTTTGTTTATCTATTTCAGTAGTGCCTCGTAGGAGTGATGTAATTTTTTTGAAAATATGACTTGTTTTTCGCTCTTTCAGACACGGCTCCCAAGGTCATCCGAAGAAATCACATAGGTGTTCAAGCAACCCGGTAAAATGCCTAGGCTTATCTGTTGTAGTAAGTAGTAATCATGAATCAAGCTTTCATCATACAACTGCTGGCTCTCTATGTACAGAAAGAACTACATAATTATAAAGCCGTTATTCAAAGCACCACTTTGATGCAGAACGCGTTCGGCTACTGCTAAAGAGATAGAGGAGTAATGTCGGAAACTCTTTACAAGAATCTGGTTAGCTGAAGACAGCCAAATGTTTGAACAGAACACTTGGAGTTGCTAAAGATTCTTCAGAGGACTTCATCCTCTGAATCACTGAAAGCATCAGTAGTCTTATACATATCAAACCACCACTGTGCATTGCCATGTTCAGCGATTTATTCAACAAATTTAACAACAAATACCACTATAAAAAGATATATCTAGAAGCAAATTTTATAAAGCATAGAACAGATGACCTGAGTTATCTACGGCAAACAGTGTCTTTTTTTCCTGTACCTCTTAGCTCCATGAAGATGCCAAAATTTAATTTATATTACCCTT